TCAAGAATAACTTCTGACTTCTCAAGAATAACTTCTCAAGTATCGTTAGTTGTTTGTGCTTATATACCTGTATGGGGGGAGTGGTTTTCGATATCCCGGGTGTGTGTTTAAATCTTGTAGGCCAATGGAAGAGAGAGGCTAAGCCTCTTGTGGCCAATCATATTATTGTTCTTGTTATCATGTGATGCCTGCAGTCGCCACTATGTGGCACTCTTGTTCCATGATTCAGCAGTGTTGGAAGAACCTTTTGTTGCTCAGTGGGGGGTTATCACAAGGGAAGTGGACCGAGCCGTAAAGTCCAGTCAACCACAGGTGGTCATGTAGATCAAAAGGAATGGATGGCTTCGAGGTTCCCTGTGAGAAGGTAGATTGGGAGATCTCCCATTGTTGTGTGAAGATCTCCCATTGTTCCCAGGGAGTAGAGGTGTTTTAGAAAGTTGGTGTGAAGAGAATTTGGGGAAATTATCTTTGAATGTGTGGGGCTATGTGACTGTGTGTGCTCGGGAAAGCATTTTGGTGTCTTAGCAGCTTCCTGCTGCAGACCCAACCAAATGTGAAAACCACTGAAATCTAACAGCTTGATGGCACTCAGTGATTACTCATAGCTCGACTACCACTTACATGTACTGTATATAAATTTTTATTTCTACTTTGGGGGATATTTTAAAGTCAGAAGCATTCTCTCAAACCAGAACACAATACAGTACATGAGCACAAAAACTTTAAATGGTAATTTTGATCTGAGGTTAGGACAGCAGAGAGTAAACAAATCAAAATGAAAAAAGAAAAAAAAAACTTTCACAGAGAAAGACAAGATTAGGAACTTTGTAGGTCGTTTTTTTTTTCTTTTACATTTACAGTAGTGGTTCACAATTTATTTTCTGTGGTGCCACACTTTTATAGATGTAATTCAATGTCATTCAAAGCTATCCAAACCCCTACTGAAATGTATTTAAAACACTGAAATTCCCACTTGCTCCACAGTGATACGAAAAATATTGTCTTTGAAAATAATTTATTGTACTGGAAATAATCTTGGTTATTGGTACATGGCTTTAGCCCAGAAACAATTGGGTCAGCATTGAACATGCTATTGAACTTACAAAGCTCTTAGTAACATGTGTTGTTGTTCTGCTGAGTCACACTGAAGCAATGGCCTGTTTTTTTTTTTTTTTTTGTTTGTTTGTTTGTTTGTTTGTTTGTTTGTTTCGTTTTTGATGATGTTTGCATTTGACTTTTGTTCATTGCTTGGCAAATAGAATGTGGAAAGTTTGAAGAATAACACTACTTTTTACATTATGAAAGAATCCTGTTTCTAGTCTCTCAGAGAGAGGAGACATTCGAACACATTCATCAAAATTTAAACAGGAAAACTACTGTGCAAATGTTATATTTTTTTCAAATTCCTCCTTTGAGTGTTTGTTGGTGGAAGTGTTGATAAAGCCCAGCACTCCAAATTTTCATCCAAGTCCTTGAAAATGTCTTTAAATGTCTGATTTATTGTAGAAGTGAACCTGTGCTGCAGTGTTGTGCCTCTGTACAACAGTGTGAGCTTCTTCACCACAATCAGTGGCACTTGGTTCCGTATGTATAGATGTTTATTAATGTTTGTTAGTGGCTGCTCCTGTCTTGATTGATGGATGCATATGGCGAGAGGGGGGACTTGGCATGCATCTCGACTAACTGCCTAATAGCTTATAGAATGACAGTAGCTAGCGAGGATTAGAAACCAACAAAGTTAATGCATAGCACAACCCGCAGGTGTGTGTACGGACCAATTTGTGTGTATGTAATGTGCAGCCTGTATCTAGTCAATAACAAGCAGGCCCTCATAAATCTGGAAGACATATTGGCCTAAAACATTTAACCGCTCAATAGGGATTTATTAATGAAGAGAGAAAAAGAAGAGTGAGGCAGAAAAGAAGTGGAGTACTGGACTTTGTCAGTTTCCAAAAACATCCTAAACATTTGAAAAAAAAAAAAACTTTTTAAAAAAGTGTTGTTTACTACAAAAAATGTGTTTACTACAAATGGCACCGATTCAAACCTCTGCAAGAATATCACAGACCTTGTGAGTTGATGTCAAATACATGGAGTTCCTTTCTTGCAACCTACCCCACTACCGGGGTATTCTGTAACATACCGGTATGCTGGGGTAAGTTGTAACAGTTAGACAAAAGAAACAAAAACATAGGCCACACCATGCGACATGCTGTAAAAACAGGCTGGGGGTCATAGAAAATGTGAACTAGTCAGGCCCAGCCATCTGCTTCTCATCCCATGTTTGTGGGTTGTTGATGTTATATATTACTGCCAGTTGATATGCAAAATTTCTAACCTAAAAGAACACAAAAAGTTTTTTTCCATTTGTCCGGCATCTATGCTAGTATTCAATTCTTCTCTGGTCTCCAGTGACTAACCTGCCCCATGTTTACCTCACGTGGAGTCAGTCCATAATACAGGTCTGATGCCTGAGTCAAATAGTCAGCCATCACTTCTTCTGCACCTCAGAGAAAACTTTGTTGCTGCTTCAGTAACCTATACTGGGAAGATCAATGGACCCCTGGTCTCTCAGCTTCTGCTCAGTGTTACATGGCAGATTTCATGTGCCATCGCAACTGATCTGACTGACTTGCCCTTCTTTGTGACCTCAACGGATGCTTTTTTTAAAAAAAACATTTGCAGTCACACCTCTGTCAGTCTTTCTTGTCCACTGTCTAGGCATTCTGTAAAATGTATTAAATTTAATAAAGTGTTCTTAGTTGTACCTAAGGGGATGTTGTAACACAAATGTGTTACAACCCACCCACCCCTGTCAGCCATTGTTTAGCTAGCTGTATTAGCATAATGGTTTGAAATTAGCAGGGGAAAAATGCATCACATTATGCCTGAGAAACTAAAATTTAATCTAATGTAAGTCATATTGTTTTATGTACAATAGCATAAATATTAAACAAAATATAGTCTTGGTCAAAAAATTTACTTTCTTACATCAAAATCTTTTTTTTTTTCTCTATAGAATCTGCATGCCCCTGTTTCCAACCTTGACAACCACTATGTGGGATCAGGGAGGAAGTGGGTAAACACTGAAATGATCATATACTGTAACTCCTATCGTATCCCTAATTGGTGAAATTGGTGGTGTTACAACTCTCCCCATGTTACAACGATACCCGGTCTCCCCTATAATATGTAATATATGTATTTATTTCAATCAATTATTAGCAGGAAACCTTTAAAGTCCAGGCCAGGACAATTCTAATGCCATCTTGCATCATTATAAACAGTCTTCAATTCCCAGACTATAGCAAACAGTTATTTTTAAACAGTACGAACAGTCAGTAAATTATAAAGTTGAGACATTTTTGTGTTGTCATACTGGAATGCTGACAGCTTATATGTTGTAGGTACTATTGAGTGGAACACCTTCTGAGAGCTAAAGGTAGTACCACATTTTGAATCTAGGTTATAAATAAAAAATACAAATAATTGGCATTTACAGAGCCCCTAAAGGGAAAGGGGGGTAGGAGGTGCTCAATACTTTCTTGTGCGCACAAGATAATTTCTCGTGCTCACAAGAAAGTATTGCATGCGCATGTTATTTCTAGGAGACCATCCACTGCATTTTGCTTTCGCATTCATCCAGACACATTCACAGACCCTGGGAAATTACAGAACTTGATCATGAACATTATAACACTGTAACTTTACTTCAGGGTTACTACAATATCATATTGTTATGTAAAACCTACTTTTATCTTAAATCGTGTCCCACAAATGAGTTTTTGTTGTTGTTACATTCTCCAATGAGCAGCTGTCCACTTGTCTTAATCACTGCCATTGATGTGGTGTCCTACAATAATAATTCATGTAACGCGAAAATGGCTCTAACAGGGTTTTTTGAGCATGGAGGCGCCTCGCATCAGTGTGCTATATTGTCACGTAATTTCATTGTTTGTGTTCGTAAGCACAACAATAGGCCTAATTTATATAAATAAACAAAATATTGCAAAGCAGAGAGCGAGATCAACAACCTTCTCTGTGTTTGTCACAGTTTTTTGACGACAAAATGCTCTGAGTGCTCTGTCCTCATATCGTTTGATATATTGATATATTTTAATAATCTTAATTAGCTCTGTATAGAGGCATACGTACAGGAAGCCATGTCCCTTTAGAGGCTCCTTAAGCATTTGTATCTCTATCAATAGTTACCTGATCACTGTATTTTTGCAGCCATTTTTTGGCTTTATGTTTTTGTTCTACGCTTCCGTAATAGTGAATGGCAATGTAGTGGTAAATGTGATAGACACGTGCATAAATTATGACATTAATAATACTGTTGGACAAGATGTCAGTTAGCCAGTAGAGTTAATGGGTGATTTGATGCCTGAATGATTGCTGTATGGATTGGCTACTTGACAGACTCACTGACATAGCCATTGATTTTTTTTGCCTTTTAGGAGGAGCCATTTGTAATGGTGTCAGAAAATGTTCTGGGGAAACCAAAGAAGTACCAGGGCTTCTCCATCGACGTGTTGGACGCCTTGGCCAACTACCTGGGCTTTAAGTATGAAATCTATGTCACTCCGGACCACAAATATGGAAGCCTGCAGCCTGATGGTCAGTGGAACGGAATGATCGGAGAACTGGTCTTCAAGGTGAGAGGATTGCAATGTGATATATTTTTTGATATGCACAAAATACAAGGACTCGAGGTATAATCACCTCTAACACACTTTCTGATCAATCAACTGAATGTTTGTATGTACTTTTTTTTTCAGGGGTGGGGGCTTTCAGCACCTTAAGACATGTAGTAGAGTAATTATTGCATATATGTTTGCAATTGTTTAAGAATCTAATTTGTTAATTTAGTTTATGAAGATATATATAGTTGTATATAAAATACAGTATATAGTTGTTAAAATTATACTTGCAACATGTTCATAACAGAAAAAGACAGGGTCACATAATTAAAAAAACCAACATCAAATATCTGCAGCTTTACAAAGGCTTATTCTCACTTTTTACTGAATGTTGGGATTCTTTTTTTTGTTTTGTTTTGGGTTTTTTGTTCCTCATTATGCATCCGATATTTTTGTAAGGAAAACTGGATTGACACTAGTCCATCACTGACCCTTTATGCCACCTACATTTTTGTATGAAAAGACACCTTCTACAGCAGGGGTGTCAAAGCCCATGGGCCGTATGTTTGACACCACTGTTTTACAGCAATGTCCCACTGTTCCATTCTGCAATCATTTTTATCTGCACTATTGATGGTTATTCCTTTCATTTCTCATCTTAATCCAAACAATGAGTGAGAAAGCTGTTGACAGAGACACCAGTTTCTCATCATTTCTCTCCTGAAATTATATAACATAATTATCATAATTAAACCATGACAGAATTGTAACAAAGAACCATAGTTTATGCCTCCGGACACGTTTTCAAAACCTTTTTGTTTAGATATCAAAAAGTGAAGTGAGGGCCTTTTTACCAGTGATTACATCATTAATAAATCACTTACAATAAAAAATCCTCCACATCCTAATGAAGAGCAGCTACAGCTGGGGTCAGTTAGTCACAGGCACACCACTGAATCAACACGTTCTGTGTGATTGAAATCTACTCACTGCTAGCATTTCAATAAATAGCAATAAATTTAAATATTATTTATTTATAGCTTTTACACAAGGAAAAAGTTCAATATGCATTTAAAAATACACATAGCTCATCAACTTCTTTAACCTCTTTAAATATGTGCTGTACAATAAAATATTTTTACAAGCTTTGTCTTAGTTTCTACACATTATGTTGGAAGTCCACACTCGTCTCAAAGAGCGAATGCAGTGCCTGAGAATTATGATCCACACCAGCACTAACCCACTGAAATGTTTTTTTTTTCTTTTAAGGTCAAAGATATATTTTTTTATTATTATCCGCTATTTCCAGTAATGCCTTCTCTGCACCTGTTTTTTTATTTCAGTCTTATATGAAGGCCTTTAACATTCTTTTAAATAATAATCAGTTTCTCTTGACCTTGCATTTCTGTGTGTGTATTTGTGTTTAAAATACATGCCAGTGTGTTCGCCATTTATATTCAGTGCCAGTGTGAGCTCACAAAATGATAGAAACATGCTGCGAGTACAAGGCATATTTATTTGCACAAGCACCAGCACCAGCTGTAAATAAACTGCGACATGCAAATAATTTTGTTTACCTCATCATTCGGCTAACAGCATTTATCTTTTCAAAAAACCCAATTACCAGATAATTATTACCCAAAGTGCTTTAAGTGCAAGTTTCTCTGTTGACTAAGACAGTCAGAATGAAAATAATCTCTATTCACAAACACACACACACATGAAAGCATGCATTCAACATTTAAATATTCTGCACAATTGATATCACACTACTTCTTATTCAGCATGAGTAAAGTCCTAATGTTGCTTCCTTACTAGGTGGTAAATTTACCTGACTTTTTAAAAGTTATGGGTTCGAACCCCATAGGCACTGCATACCCAGCACCTCCCGTTGGGCAGCCTGTTGCAGGTGATCTGCTGTTAACATAACAATTTCTCCAGTGTGTGTGATCAATAATTATCATTATTAAAAAGGTAAAATTAAGTCTTAATGAGGACAAGCTGTAATGTTTTTGTGTTCGTGTTGAATGCTTTTCTTATTCCTGTCTAAATTCTATTTAAAATATTTTGTAATATTTTATTTTATCTGTAGTATTATATCTTATGTCTTTTTCTTGTTGCTATTTCAATATTTATTAGTGGTGTGCAAAAAAATCGATTTACATTTGAATCGTGATCTAGGCTTTGCCGATTTAAAATCGAAATCTCGTCGAAAGTGCGGTCAGCTCTGACCTAAACTCTGGCTAAAGGTATTCATCAGTCATACGGAGAACGTCATTTTGGATTTTATTGCATGGATGGGAAGCTAAGGAAGATAGATAGATATAAAGAAGATAAAGAAAATCCTATATGCAATTTTTGCTATACAAAGGTGAAGTATTTTGGAAATACAACAAATATGAGAGCTCATATGTCACGCCATCATCCAGAGATTAGGATTAAAAACTATAAAAAAGTTAAAAACAGTAAACCTTCCAGTGAACCAACAAACTTTGTTTTAATGCATTAATCTCCCACCCAACTCTGAATGGGCACTCAGTCCATAGCGTATTTTATTTCAAAAGATTTGCGCCCCATCAACACCGTTGAAAACGAAGGCTTTGAATATATGCTGCGTGCTATCGAGCTATATCATCCTTTTTAGCAAATGCAAACAGGCAGACACTTAAACATGTTTATGTATTCTGTGATTTTAAAGAATCTTGAATGCTGAATTGAGAATACTTGAGTCATGATTTTATGTGTTAAATGCACCCATCAGTTGCTCATTTCAAAAGGGAGTCTAGCTGTTGTACTCCCTGAGCCATTTGTGTTTGTTTTTGGAGTACAGCACTAATTGTAAAAGCTGTAGTACCAGTAACGTTTGTAGCTAAAGGCAATCATTTTCAGTTTTGTTTGAACAGTTTGAGAGTTTACCGTTTACCTAATGTGTTGTTTCCCAAAGACTGGGTCGCGACCCTCAGATGGGTAGTCTTACATCATGTCTCCCAGGAGTTTACGAATAATGTCTATTGACTTGGGTCACGAAGGTTTGTGACTTTTAAAATATGGGTCCCCAGAAAAAAAGTTTGGGAAACACTTGACCAGTGATGTGCAGTGAGGTTCATGGCTGATGAGGCACAATAAATAAATCCTACTCAAGGTTGATATTGAGTAGTGTTTACCTGCAATCGATTCATTCTGTTTTTGTTCTTGTCTGGCAACTGCAATAATATAAGAAAGAAAGTCAAATCTCAGATATATATCAAATGTATTTATGCTCTGGACAGTGAATCAATTTTTAATTGAAAATCGATTTTGAATCGAATCTTGAGTCTAAAAATCTATATCGAATCAAACCGTGATATTTCCTGAATTGTGCAGCCCTGAGAACTATTGTTATCATTAGACCGTACATTCAAATAACTATATGTCAGTGCTTCTAGTTGTATTTCCTGCTAGTGTCTAAATGTCTATGGCTCCACAGAGCTTTGGTTGCTGATATTTTTCATTTTCCCAACTGCAGCGAGCAGATGTTGGACTTTCTGCCCTGACCATCACACCTGAGCGGGAAAGTGTGGTGGACTTCACCACGCGTTACATGGATTACTCTGTGGGTGTTTTGCTGCGAAAGGCTGAGCGCACCGTGGACATGTTCGCTTGCCTGGCACCTTTCGATCTGTCACTGTGGGCGTGCATCGCCGGCACCGTGCTTCTCATCGGCATTCTGGTTTACCTGCTCAACTGGCTCAACCCTCCCCGGTTACCCATGGGCTCAGTGTCCCCCACAACACTGTACAACTCCATGTGGTTTGTCTACGGCTCCTTTGTACAACAAGGTAAGGAACACATCTACATTGAATAGGACCACAGATAAACCCAGGCATGTGATGGTTTTTAAATCACAAGTTCTCTGGTTTATTTTTATTTTCTTTCACAGAAAGCCTTAATTAAACATGCTACTATGTTTTTCTTATGGTTATTGATGTAGAAAACACATGCTGTATATTATGTAGAGGTCCACACCACCCATAATTACTGCACATGACTTCAAACCACACAAATAGCTCCACTGTCACACTGTTGTAGTCAGGTGAATGTTTTTAAATGTTCACTTATACCAGTTTTTCAAAATGGGGTCGCAAAAAAAGGGATCATCTGAAATGTCTAATAATTCATATAAGAAAATACTGATAAAATATAGAGTTGAACTAGAGTATATATCTGCTGTACTCCCCACCACCAGTTAGAACTGAAGAAGCCTCTTGGATTAGAGGTGAAACGTCTTCTTTAAGAAAATTCACACCCAGTTACCTAACAGAACTTTTTAAACTTAAGTAAAGTTTATTACCTTTACGAAAGGATATGAACATAGAATAGTGAGGCAAAAAAATTTGATGCTGAAAATATCCAAAGATTTAAGATTTTGGATAACCGTCGTCTCATGTGAGCCACACATGGAATGATCTTTCATGTTCAATAACAATAATCAAATGAAATCAAAGGGGAGGAGACATTCCCAGTGCACTTAGGGGAAAAAGGAGGATAATGCCCTTATCCTTGGTATCTACTCAGAGATTTTCCAGAATCCACTTGGGCCATGGTCAGGTGAGGAGATCAGACAGTTGGCACCAGAGTAGAATTTAATTTTATTTTGGCACAGTAGGAGAAGCACCAGTTCTGGCAAAGGGAGAGAAACAGTAAGTAGAAAAATAGATGAAATTTAAAAAATGTGTGTCTTTATCCACTCTTTTTGTTATTCAAAGTGCTAAAACTGGAGAAGGACAAAAAACAAGATTTGAAAAATAATTTACATTCAGTAGTTTGTTCTCTTTGCATGAATGTGTTGTTATTTATTGTTATAGTCACAGTGATTGCAGACACTTCCACAGTCATTCACGACTAAGTTACCAGAGGTATATATATCTATTAGCCATAGATAATGTTCAGACATTGTAGGAAGCAGGTGCAGCAGGTGATTTATTTACAGCTGAGCAACATCATTAACACACAGGAATGTAGCATCGATTGCAGGCAGGTTCTTCAAACAGTGTGGATGAGCAACAACATCTCTTTGGAATGAAACAGCAAACACATGAACATTCCCCAAACATCATGAACATGGGATTCTCTTCTTACTTGAATTACTAGGAACACAGAACATGACCTGAACAGAACCACTCACAACACCAGCTACAGACTAAACTCAGACAACAATCCCACAAAGACAGTGACAGTGAGTCTGTGACTCATGGTGACATGAGTCTCACTCATGTCAACTGGTGACATGAGTGAGACTATGACTATTTTATGATTATTAAAGTTCAGCAAGAAAAAAATAGATTGCTTTTACAATACTGTTTGAAATTAGGGATATTATTTGAAGATGGACTATTAGAATTGGAAACTGAAATGGACTCTACATTGTTGAAATTCACCAAATACGTGCTAAGACAAAGCTTTGTTATTAATGAAGATGCAGATATAAACCAACCAAGAACCAGGTCCAGAAAAAACACAAGAGGAAAAAAAAAGGTGAAATTTTCTACTCAGAAGAGAAGAAAATATTTTGTTATTCCATGGTATTTCCATAGTATTTACTTATTCCATGGTATATTTAACAGAAAAATGAGAGCAGTTTACAAGACAGAGGTGGTAATCACCATGTAGAGGAACACACAGCGAACAGTTAAAGTGGACGTGGGACTGTAATCACACGGGAGCCAAAAGAAGTGGGCTATTTTCCCACACACTAAATATGATGAAGCTCAATTCATCTTTCTCACTGAACTCTTCAACATTTTCTGGATACTACTTATTTAACCAATCAAGACATTTATCACCTGTATCAAATTGACATCTTTGCCTCTGTAATGTTCCAAAACTGTGCTTTTAAAACTTTTCTTAACCTTCTACTATCTGTGTTGCCCCTTTCTCAGGAGTTTGTAAAGGATAGAAAGTATAGTTCATAAGTTTGATTTTTAATTATCTAGTATTTTTTAAATCTATTATTTTATACTTTAACGCCCCTCTATAATTTGAATCTATCTGAACATGGATGAAAACCCTCTCTAGCCACTTGGTGCTCAAGGAAATTTATTTATTAATTTAAGTTTATGTGCAACTGACAAACCTTTAATTGTTGATAAACTATGTGTTAATTATAATAATTAACAAGTAACTAATAAAAACAATCCTCAAAAATCCCGATGGCTCCCTCAAAATGAATAGAAATTGTTGAGAGCCCTATCTGGATCATTGCATAGATCAGACATGGCTCTTATGTATATGTACATTTCATGTTTTTTTTTGTTGTCTTTTTTTAAACCATGTGGATCTTATGCCGATGGGAGTTGACGCAAATTTCTTATGAAAAACCCAGTTCGCACAGATGAAAAGATGTACGCCGGAAGTTTTAAAAGAATGTGAGAGTTGTGTTTGATTTTTTAAAAAGAGATATTACAGTTTACATTTGCCGATACACAGTACAAATTGTGGCTCTTAGGCTCTTGACTGATGGTCAAGAGCCACCCCTGGCATAGATCAACTCTTTCTCTGTCTTGTCCCTGGGCTTGCTCTGACATTCTTTTCTTTATTTATTGACAAATATTACTTTCAATACAAAAGGCTTTTATTTTCTGCCATTCATCCTCCGTTCTCTCCCTCTCCATGCTCACACCCGTCACTTTCTCTCTTATTGCTTTTGCTTTGCTTATCTGCCTCAATGTTGTTTATCATGGTATATGAGCTATCTGTTGATTAAATGTGCTGCACATGCACCCACATACATTGGTTTAAGGTCCATCATAAGAATGGTTCACTTTACTGGAATGTTCAATGGAAACCTGGTTGGAGAAATCTGTAGCACTTATGTACTTTGTCTAGTTATAAAGCGGAGTGAGTGAATAGAGCAAGGGAGGTAGGGAGAGAGGCTGATGGATGAGTTCATGGCTATAAAAAATCCTTTAACTTTGTTTTTATTCAAAACAAGTCAATCATATGTTTTTTTCTGCCTTTTCAAACTTTTCAACTCAACTTCTTCAACATTAGTAAAAAATAGTTTTACTAATCAGTAATAACATTATGGACTTGAATAAATTGTTAATCTTACAATTAAGCACTGCCACATTGAGGTCAGACACTACATCAGCCACCCTGATAAAAATAGTACATTCAGAGCAATACACAGTATGCTGAAGTGTGAAGAGAAGTATTCAGAGTATGAAAAAGGGACAAACAATTAATAATCAAGCTGTTGAAAACATCCTTCAGACAGGTCGCTGCTTGTCCTGCTTTATCTTGAATGATGACTCTGTTATCTCCTAAATATACTGTGGTGAAACGCAGTGACAGGGACAATCCTTCAGCTCACGTCTGTGCTGGATGTAGTTCAAAGCATTTTATCATTTTAAAATCAAAACCACACTGAATGGCATGCTACCACAATTCTAATACTAATGTGAGGGGGGACAGAAGCTTGCACGTGATGTATCATATAAAATTACAAGAGTTCAAAATCAATGCCTTTGCCACCTGTTTTTTTTCCATTGGTTAATAGCTAAATAACACACAGTCTGCTTTGTCCTACAAGCCCTGTTAGAGAGACATTTTCTGATAATGATCGTATGTTCAGGCTAAATAGGTTTTCTTTTTTCTTTTAGGTTTTTCTTACATTTCCTTTCCTTTGATTTTGTCCTCCATCTTTTCCCTCCCTTGAATCAGTTGTGTTTAAGCTTCAGCAGAACACGTCAAACACAAAACCCTGGTGTCACACTTAATATTTACTTTTTACAAATATGTTCTCTTTGCTCTGGTTGTCTTGTTTTCTGGTGTTCTCCTCTCCTAATTAATGTCCCCAGCAGTAGGAGAGGAGAGGGACACCGTGGAGGAAACAGACTGTTTCTGTGGGTGTGTGCACACATGTGTGAATTATTATTACCGAGTCCCTGTCACCACCACTGTGGATGAGTGTCTGAATTAGAGCTAACTTTGTTAGACTGGCAAACACTGTTGCACTCAAAGAAACACTGCGAACCACATGTTTGTATCATATGAAAAGAACTTCACATAAATGAAGACTCTTTGCCACAGGCCAACGTTGGCACTGTGATCTCCCCATCTGCTTTTCCACACTTTTGTGCACCACCCTGATGTGCAACTATCTGTCCTTGTTTAGGGACAAGTGCACAGACGTGTGTATTTCTGTGATTTCTGTGACATTTCTTATGCATATAGCTATACTTGTACTATATATTTCAGTGGCATGTGTGCTTGAAGGAACATTTTTGAGGTTTTTAGGCTCAGTTTGATTTAGAATTGGAATGATGGTCAAATAACAGTAAGACTGTAGACTGTATCCAGAGACATAATACATAAAGGGTTCCAAAGTTTTTTCAGCAACGGTACATTTTGCATTAAAAAAAAACCTGTGGCTCACCACAAACAAAAATGTTCCAAAAAATATATGTAAATATAATGATCATCTTGTTTCAGGTTACTTACAATTTACACACTCAAAATTAATGTGTGGCCTATTTAGTTGACCACAGCCCTGATATGCTCACAGAAAAAGATTTGAAGTCTGTTCCTATTTTGTGCTACCACCTAGAAGAGAAGTATTTAATTTTTCTGCCTGTCACAGTTAGATTGTCAAACAAAGACAAATTATTTGCAGTTAATAAATTATGGTTTTCATTACTGTTGGGAATCACTGTCATTAACATTGCAGTATGTCTATTGGAAGTGCTTACTTGCGTGTGTGAAACAGGGAGATAGGAAATATTTGTGTCCTTTTCATAGACCAATTAATTTGTAATCAAAACACCACAGTTGTTTCTCA